CCAAGATACTCATGTAATGGTACAAGATCCCAATGATGAATGTAACTGTATTTTATACCTAAAATGTACCAATAAACTTAATGGGAAAAAAAATTTAGTGAGATTCCCAAGTATAACCATAATCGGAGCCCTACTGCTGTGATTTGGATTGGAAATGTCCCCCGAAGGCCCATGTTTGGTTGTGAATCTGTGAGGCTGCTGTTGGGAAGCAGTGGAAGCTTTAAGAGGTGAGGCCTAAAGGGAAGAAGTTAGATTATTGGGGGTGTGCTCTTTCAGGGGATACTGGGGCCTAGGCCCTTCCTGTCTCTTTCTTCCTGGCTACCATAGGGTAAACAACCCTCCTCCACCATGTGCCAGCCCAGGCCCAAAAGAACAGACTAACAGATCATGGAGTGAAGCCTCTGAAGCTATAGTCAAAATAAACTTTTCCTCTTCATAAATTGATTAGATTGGGCATTTTGTTACAGTAACAGAAAGCTGACTAACACAAAGCCTGTCAGGGTACCTTTCAGCAGATATTAAAGTTAAGCTAGAACCTATGCTGTAGAGGCAAAAATTCCTATTTTGGGGCATTTTTATATAAATAATTTATTATACAAATTAGTATATAAGTTTTTAATTTCCAATTGGATCAAACTATGAAAATTTGTTTTAATTTAGTTACCTACCATATATAAACAATTTATTCATTGTGCATTTATATTAAAATAGTATAGTATACACGTGTATATAATTTATCTAATTATTTATTTTCCTTCCTTGTTTTTTGTTTTGTTTTGTTTTGTTGTTTTTGGTTTTTTTGGTACCAGGAATCAAACTCGGGACCTTGCACTTGCTCGGCAGGTGCAGCTCCACTGGGCTAAATCCCTGGCCCTGTTTTTCCCTCCTTGTATCTCGAGGTTTATTTCTTGCTCAGTAACTAATCAAGGGTACATGAGATTTAAAGTTCCTTTTAAAGGAACTTTATTTTTGGTGGGGGAGGGGACTTGTACTGACCTGTTTTTTCTTTTCTTTCTCTTTTTCTTTTCTCCTCCCCCTTCTTTCTTTTTTATAGGTTTCTGGCTGCCTGTAGCTGGGGAGCGGGAGGGTCGTCTTTGGCAATAAGGGGAAAAGGGAGGGTGTTCCGGGGCCCCAGGCCTCGGGCAGTTTGTCTCTCTCCCACGGCCCCACCACCACCTACCACAGGATAAGCAAGTCTTTGGCCCACTTTTTGAAAAGTAAAACCTTTAAGATGGCTTCTATTTCTAGGCAGCTAAAAAAAAATGACTTCCTCCCTCTCTGTTTACCTGGCAAGCCCGGGCAGTGCTGAGCACTCGCCCCGTGGTGACCAGCAGTCTCCACTCCAGTTCCAGGGTCCCCTACAGGACAGCAGCCTCCCCACCGAGGGTCCCAACAAACCTCATTTGGGTCAAGGGACAGGAAGGAAGGGAAAGAGGCAACACCGGGTCCCTGCCGCCCATGGCACCGCTTCCTGCACAGGCCACCATCTCCGGGGAAGAAGCAGCCTCAGTCAGGCTGGTGAGTGTAGGCAGCGCCTGCTGTCCTGCTCCCAGCTGGACCGCTAGAGTGGGAGTCTCTGCTCCCTGCCATGCCCGGCACTGGCCTGGTCTCTGCCCGACAGACAGCCCCTTGGAGGAGGCTCCCCTTCCTGCCTCTCGGTAACCAGCCACTCTGGCCAAGCAAAGCCTTCAGGATAGAATCAGTTCCAGCCAGTCGTGGTGGCACACACCCGTGACCCCAGCACTCCGGAAGCCTGCGGCCGAAGGATCATACGTGGGAGCCCAGCACCTTAGTAACTGAGCGAGAACCTGTCTCAAAATTTAAAAAATAAATAAAAATCTGGGGGTGTAGCTCAGTGCAAAGACCCTGGGTTCAATCCCCAGTACGGGGCAAGGGTAGTAGTAATTTGATTAATGGGTTGTTTGTTTTTGTTAAAGCTTTGCAGGTAACTTATTTTGCTATTCTGAGAGTTTGGGGAACAATAGAATTGCAAATAGTTCAACAAAGCACGAACAGGAAAGGTCTCAAACAATAAGTGAAAACTAATGATGAGGCAAGGTCAGGAAGCCGGTCCACACAAAGAGAATGCCAGAGTCCGCGAGAAACGTGCGGTACTGTAAGGCAGACACTGCGAGGTAACGCCCCGACTCCTGGTCCTTACAGAACAAGAAGAAAATGCGTGGGGAGGTCAATGGCGAAGCTGCGAAGAGCAGAGGAAATCTGGATCACAGAGCACGGGAAGCCAGAACAAGCCTAGACTTCACATTGCGCAAGTTATTTAAGAATTTAAAGTGAGGGGCCAGCCTCAAATTAGGCTTTTATTTTTGATTTACAATGTCACATCTTAGGACGTAACTTCCCCAAATGTTTCTCTTTATATTTATATACACTTTTACAGATGCATTCATGCTGCACATCTTGGTTTGGTTTCGTATTGTTTTGTTTTGTTTTTCAGTACTAGGGGTTGAACCTGGGGGTGCTCTACCCCCCACTACATCTCCATACCTTTTTAATTTAATTTAATTTAATTCTGCTTATTTATTCATTCATTCACTCACTTACTTGTGTGAGAGGGTTTAATTGCCCAGAGTGGCTTGAGCTTGCAAGTCTCCCCTTGAGTAGCCGGGATTACAGGTTTCACACTCCTCTTGTTTTTTAGTGACAATAAATACTGCTCTATAACACCTTTTTTATTTTTTTTTGGTACCAAGGATCGAACTCAGGACCTTTCACTTGTGAGGCAGGAGCGTTGTCACTGAGCTACATCCCTGGCCCATTTTAAATGGCTAAAAAACGTCTCATTTTATGAATTTACCACTTTGTTTTTAAAACAGTCCCATCATCTGGGCTTTACTTTGTTTCAATGTAGCTAAACTGCAACTACATTGCCAAAACTTCCCTCCCTATGGTCTGGGTGATACTGTCTACAAGAAAAATGTGTGCAAGATGTAGCAGGTGGGAGCAAAACAGTGGCCCTTTCTGCAAGCGAAAGTGCATGCATGGCATTCCCGCAGCTCACACAGTTGGCAGCTGTTTCCTGGTTCACCCGTGGGTGTGAGGCACCGCCCTGTCTTGCTCGGTTTTTGGCTGGCGCTGCCTGAGAAGAGCCCGGCTCCGCTGAGTAGCTGAGGCAGATCCTGAAGGGGAAACAGCTGGAATCTGCCAGTGGCCAGCATTCCTCCAAGCCCAGGACGAGTTCCTTCTTACAGGGAGTTCCCCGTAACAGCCCAGGGCCTGCCCCTCCCCTGTCTGCACAGTCAGCTGACTCCAGTTTTCACTTTGTTACAAACGTTACTTAAGTGAGCAATCTGGTAGGTCCACCGTTTTGTACATCCTTGTGGGGTTTGGGGGTTTTTTTTTTCCTTTTGAGACAGGGTCTCAAAGGCTAAGTAGTTCAGGTTGGCCTTGAACTCACTATATAGCCCAGACTGGCCTGTAACTCACAGTGACCCTCCTGTCTCAGCCTCCCAAGTTCTGGGATCACAGGTGTGTAATTAAGGCACGTGTACCTGGTCTTAATTTAGGATAAATTCCTAGAAAGGAGTGTCTGGGACAAATGGCATTCCCATTTTTAGGGTTTGGGGGGGGGTGTGTTTTTTTGTTTGGTACCAGGGATCTGACTCGAGTCCTTGAGCTTGCGCAGCAGGTGGCGAAACCACTGAGCTAAATCCCCGGCCCCTTTTGTTTTTTCTTTTTGGTACCCGGGATTGAACTCAGGACCTTGAGCTTTCGAGGCAGGCACTGGAACCCTGAGCTAAATCCCCAGCCCTTTTTTAGGGTTTTTATATATAAAACCAGGCTGATCTTCAGAAGAGTTGTGGTTTTGATTAAAACTTACTCAGCATTGAGATTGAACACTTTTATATGCTTTTGGGCATTTATATTCCTTTTAAGAAATTCTTGTTCATATGGCTGTCGTTTTTGAGTTATAAGAGCTATTTATATGTAAAAGACTGCAACCCCTTGTCTGATATGCATAATTCAAACATTCTCCAAATTGTCCTTTATCCTTTAAATTTTTATAAAGTTAATACTATGAATATTTTTCATGGTGATTCTCCTTAGAAAACCCTCTGTACCTCAAAATTGTATTAATATTCACTTATGCCCTTTTCTAAGCCATTAGTTATTTCATTTTACGAAGTAATAGTAGACATCAAAAACGTAAATATATGATGTGTATATATACTTATTATGTTTCTGACCCTCTGTTATGACATATTGAATTATCAGCAGCAGTATCCTATCAACTTTAATTATTTCAATTTCATGATAAATGTTAGCTGGTAAAGTAAGGCTTATTTTGCTATTTTTTTTGTAATGTCTACTTCCCTGTAAGATTATGCATCCTCACCTGGAGCTGCATGTGTTAGTCCATTTTATGGTACTATAATGAAATACCCGAGGCTGGACACTTTACAAAGAAAAGAAGTTTATTTAGCTCGCAGTGCTGGCATCAGCTCAGCTCAGACAAAAGCTTCATGGCTGGTGGCTCCCGGCAAGAGTGCACATGAGAAGAGATCACAGGGCCAGCCAGGAAACCAGGGCAGCCGCAGGGGAGCCAGGCATGTTCCTGTGTAATGCTCTTCTCCCACAGACTAGCCGGGGCCTGAGAGAACTACATCCGTTCCTTCCCAGGGCTGAGCTCTCGGGGACCTCATCACTCCCCAAGGCCCCAGCTCTTAGGAGCTGGGAGACACTCAGATCACCCCAAGCCATAACCACACAGGCAGTAGATTGATTCTTCCCTAGTCCTCCCATCCAGGGGTGGGGTCTCCATTCCTCTCCTCTGGGAGAGGAGCTCTACGGCTGCTTTGTTCCAATACAGGATGGAGGAAGGGACTTGTATCTGTCTGTAGGCCCTGGCTTTCAGAGTCTGGCTTCTTCTGCCTCCTGTCTCTCAGCCACTCTCTCTAGGAGGCCTGAGCTGCAGGTGTGAAGTCTCCAACCTCCCCAACTCGATGCTGGAGATCCTACCTAGCAGGGTTCCAGATGTGAATTCAGTCAAGCTGGACCCCCCAGCTGAGCCCAGCTGAATACCACAGTGACCTCAGTCAAAACACCAATGAGCCTCTCATGCCCATAACCAGCAGATACAATAACAGTGGTGTTGTTTGAAGCTGCTGCTCTCTACACAAGTCTCATACCAGATCCAAGCAGAAACTGAAGTGCATGTGTTGCCTGCAGCTCTTCTGCTCGTTCCGTCTCCCATGAGGATGGCACGGCCCTGGTGAGGCTGCCCTGAGACCTGAAGACCCAGGAGCAGTGCCACGGTGCCCACATACATCACCACGGGACCCAGACAAGAAGTAAACTCTCACTGTTGTAAGCCCTCAAGATTTTGGGTTGTTCTCGACCACATCCGCTCTGAATCATACACTACATGGCTACTATTTCTCTCCCCTTTTATCACTGTTGGGAAAGCCCATTTCTCCTGATAAAGACTGAAGAAAACCACAGGTACTCATTTTCCAAGCCTCCCTTACAGCAGCCTCCCTTACAGCTACAGGTGTTCAACTTGTGTCCGGAGCAATGACAGATACTCCTTACCTATACCCTCTTGGTATACATCCAGGAAAAAGATTTTCCTCCATTACCAAAATAGAAGCGTAGCCTGGTGGCACAGGCCTGCAATCCCAGCACTCTGGGAAGCTGAAGCAGGAGGATTACAAGCTCAAACCCAGTTACTTATCAAGATCCTGTCTCAAAAGTTAAAAATTAAAAGTGGGCTGATGATGTAGCTCAGTGCAAAGCCCCTACATTCAATGCCCAGTACAAGAAGAGATCAAAATAGAGGGACATGAAGGGAATTCTCTTTAACTGCCCTCAGTCACTCACTTAGGTGCATTTTATATTGCTCCTTCAAAGATGTGATGGCTAGAGCTTCAGAAGCCATCTTGTGACCATGAGGAAATAAAGAGTCCAAAGCCAACAGACTAAGGAAGGGGAGGATTAAATAATCCAGATCCTTAAAAGTATTTTTGATTGCCTAACAGGTGCAATCCCCTGGGTTCATTCCCCACTCAACAACTTTAGAACTGAGACCGTCAGAGACAGCGTACAGTGTGAGATCATTGTCCTAATTGTTTGCACCACTGTTCATTGGTAATTCTGTCATTTGTGGGCAAAAAATGTTAACCAACAAGTATCCAGTTATCTGTTGATATTGCCTGACCAGCATGGCCAGGTATCAACATTCTGATGTCGCGTAGAGAATCAGCACAAGCCACACACATGCCTTGCACTTGGTTCAGGCAGGATTGACCGCAACTTCCAGTTCTCAGGAAAGCATGTGACAGGTAGGGGCAATCAGAGTGTGACCCTTACCTGGCTTCAGCGGCAGACCAGTAGTTCTGGGGCTTTTGACAGAAGTGGTGGAAAAGAAAGGTACTGTACTGTCTGTTCACTGGGATTTCTGCTCCAAAATGAAACAGACACCGAGGATGGCAGAGCTGAGAAAGGAAAAGATGAATTTCTGATGATGTCATTGAACCTTTGGGACCCCTTTCCCTGGTCGACCTTTGAACTTTTATTTCAGTTATACAAACCAATAAAATTCTGTTATTTCATAAACCAGTTAACAACTGCTAAATCCCAACGATACAGGCCAGAGTCCAGGCTTACAGACGTGGCCAAAGGCCTCGGCTGAGATAAAAGTGGGTTGGAGGAAAAGGCAACTCCAGCAGCTCTGCAGGGTAGTGCTGTTCTCTGACTCTTTCCCACACAGAAGCAGCTAAGGCACTCGAGGATAAAGGTAACTTCCCAAGGTTGTACAGCAGGTAATTAAAAGGTCCCAGGGGCCAGGGATTTAGCTCAGTGGATCCGGTGCCTGCCTCACAAGCGCAAGGTCCTGAGTTTGATCCCTGGTACAAAAAAAAGGGGGGGGGGACCCATATCCCAAACCCAGGTCTAACCCAGGGCTCCAGAACTCATTTACACTAAACCACACTGACTTTCAGGGCAAATCTTCACCAGGAATCAAACCTGCACACTGCCTCTTAAACATCACGAGGGTTTTATTGGTGTCGAATGAGTGGGAGTGACAGTAACACAGAGCTACTTCTGTTTGAGTGGCAAGGTCAAAAGTCTGAACTATTGTCCCGACCAGCTATATGTACATCATAGGACCACGGATTGAACCCAGGTCTTTGCACTGAGCCACATCTCCAGCCCTTTTTTCCTTCTTTGACACAAGGTCTCACTGAGTCACTAAGTTCCCCAGGCTGAATTCAAACTTATGATCCTCCTGCCTCAGCCTCCCGAAGTGCTGAGATTACAGAGGTACACCTCCATGCCTAGCTTCCCATATATAAATTTTTAGCCAGAGATGGCAACACAACCCTATAATCCCAGCATTTGGAAGGCTGAGGCAGGAGGATCGCCATGAATTCGAGGCCAGCCTGGGCTACACAGTGGGTACAAGACAAACCTGAACTATATAACAAGACTCTGTCTCAAAAAAATATATAAAATTTAAATGAGTCAATTTACAAACAAATACAGAATGAACACCCCCTAATCTGAAAATCTAGAATTCAAAAGGCTCCAAAATCTGAAACTTCTGAGCACCAATATGACAGCACAAGTGGAAACCTGCACACCTAACATCATGCAATGCGTCAAAGTCAAACTCTGGGTGCACTCAAAAAGCTGAACAGCCAGGTGTGGTAGCCCACACCTGTAATCCCGGGTAAGGCAAGAGAATCGGGAGTTTGAAGCTAGCCTGGGTAACGATACCTTGTCTCAAAATAAAATCATAAAAGGGGCTAGGGGTATAGTTCAGAGCTTCCTGCATTCAATTCCAAGTACTAGCAGAAAAAAGTATAAAATTATCTTCAGGCTTTATGTAAAAAGTGTATGAGAAACATCAATGAATCTCATGTTTCGATGTGGACCACATCCCCAAGATATCTCTTTACACATATGCAAATATCCCAAACTTTCAAAAACTCCAAAACACGTTTGGCCCCAGGCGTTTCGGACAAGGGACATGCAGGCTGTCATCAGTGAGTACAGGTGGAGAGTAATATACGGCATCAATAACAAAGGTGAGAAATCAGTGAAAAGTGTCAACTGCCACCCACAGAACAGGGGTCGCCACTGGTATCACCAACTCTCCCCCTCCCCAAAAAATCCATGAGCGCTTTACTCAGAGTTGACGGGGAGAGAACGGAGGAGCTCGGCAGCTCTGGCCACAGCAGCCAGACTGACCCCTCCCCTGCACAACAAAGGTCTCCCAAGTCCTGAGCTCAGGCAGCACCAGGGACTTCTGTGCTAAGGGGTGTGGGGAAGTATGCTCCCCACCCACCAGGGCAGCAAGTGGAGTCTCGGAGACCCCACTAGACCCTCCAGTATCTTCCTGGATCAGGAGCACTAGCTCCCCAGAGCAGGTACAGCATGAGGAAAGGGGGAGGCTTTCCTGGGGAACCATGGGAGGGGGGTCATGCTCTGTGCTGCGGGTGCTGGAGACCCGTTGGGGATAGAGGTCCCCTGCAGCCCAGCCAGAAGCCTTCAGCCAGTGTTTCTAAAAGTTGAACCTCGGACCTCTAGCTCAAAAATCATTTATGAAAGCTATAGACTTCCCTGGAGATGGGAACTCTCAAATGGGGCTAGAAGGTCTGAACTTTTCAATCAGAGGAAATTTACCACCAGGAAATTTTGAGTAACTCTGATGGAAAAAAGACCAGAAATAAAGCTAGCTCTCTCTTTCTCTCTCTTTCTTCCTTCTTTCTCTCTCCCTCCCCTCCCTCTTTCCTTCCCTCCTCTACATCTCTTTTTAGACAAACCTTTTCTCACAGTGCCTGGAAAATCAGCCACTCACTGAGTTATAATCCCCATCCACCCTCTTTAATTGGGGTCAAAGACTAAATACTCCTCGATCTGAAAGGCCTTGTTCACGTGACAATCCTCTGACAAAAATCTCAAAATGTGCTAAGGAATCAAATATTCCCCCTTACCACACCCTCTCCCCCAGCTATGGGACTCATCTGTCTGACTCCAACCTGCCATGCACATGCACAGGCTGAGCATATGCCTATGCCAGCCAGAGACCACAGGCAGAGACCACAGGCAGGAGTGAGGAAGCCATGGGCACGCAGATCAGTGGTAACACGGAGCAGGTGGTATGATAATAAAGGCTTAACAATGGGCTCTCCTGGGGAAACAGCCCTGGCCTGTCACACCTGCCAGCGTCCATCAGGTAAAGATATTCCTAGTGCTGCCAACTTCAAGCCACCAGCATAACAGCTGAGATGTGAGCATAGCTGGTTCTCATGTGTTGACACAGACAGCACCAGCCCATCCTCGGGAGGGACACAGACAGCATCTCCCGCAAAGACAGCCAGAGCACCCTGCCACCAATATAGATTCTCACGGTTCCATGTGACTCCGGCACAATTCTGTGGCACACTGTATCAGCGTTTGAAACTCTTCCTGTTAACACAATGGGGTTATTCTCAAACATCACACTCTTAGGAAGGTATGTACTGTTTATTGTTTTTACATCATCTGCCTCATCACCAACCCCCACCACTTATCATGGCTCCATGGAATCAGTGAGAAATCATTTAAGAGCCCAGATTTCAATGGTCCTCCCTGTGGTCAACCAAACAATAATGGAGATCTCTTGTTTTTCCTGAGAAAAAAACAACACATAGACACACGTACAAAGCCCCTCTTCTCCTGATAACTTCCATTTTCCTTTAAGCAACCTCCGCACCCCATCCGGAATCCCCAGACCTTTTTCCTAGGAACTAGTACAAGCCATAGGGCTGCCCAATTAGAGCATTCCGTTCCCCAGGAGACGGGAACAAGATCCCAGTTGGGAAATAACACTCCCTGCTTGGAATCACTGCAATAAGGAAATCCCTTCCTGTTGGCTTACCAGGCAGAAAGATGGGAGCCTGGAGCTACTGGTGCTCCTGTCTGCCATGAGGAAGAGCCCTCCCTCCTGAGAATGAGGCCAACACAGAAGAAAACTAAGCTGGGAGATGCAGCTGAGGAAACGGAGTCCTGATAACAACATTTGTGCCTGAAGACAGATACTTCCAGACTTTTTAATTATGTGAACCATTAAAATCCCTTTTCTAATTTAAATCACTTTGAGTTGACTTTCAGTCACTTGTAACCAGAAGATTGACGGCTGATTCAGAGATCTGAGATCAAATGAGCTAAACTTTAGTACACACCCTTTCTACTTTGTCTTCTTGGCCATAAGTAGAGTTTGGTTTAGAAGAATACAGTGAAAGAGGGTCCTGCCTCCATGGGTGCTAAGGATGATCCAAGCAGACGCTGGCTGGCATGACCTAGCCAAAGGCACAAAGAGCGTCACTTCAGGATCCTGATGCTCATTTTCTGCTCGACGTTCATCTTCTCTAAGGACTGGGAAGAGATGGGCGTGGTCAACTAAGGAGGCCCCAATTCCAGTCCTCCAAGCTTCCAACCTCCTCCCCCAGGTTCTACCCATTCCCCAGGCCTGCCACTCCCCAGGGCCCCTAGTTCCCTACCCTCCCTCTGAACTTCATTTCCTTTGTCCGAGCATCTGGGCGACTCCAGATCTCAACCCCCCAGTCCCCGAGGGCATCCTGACCTTGGTGAACTCCAAGAAGGATACGGCCCCATCTCCGTCTTCGTCAGCCTCCTGCACTGTACGGTCTGCAATGCTCTCCAGCTGCTCTTCAGTTACCTGGACCCCAACCATCAGACGGAGAACCTGGGGGGTGAGAGAAGAGGCAGCCCTCAAAAAGTGCCACTAGCCTCCGCTCCTCCAAACTCACTGCATAAATTACTACCAAGTTCCTAATCCAACTCTCCCACTCTTCACCCCATCCCAATAGCCCCATGACCAGATCCCCTAATTCCCCCAGTGAAGCACTTCACCATCCAGTCTCCCATCCAACTTTCACTGTCTCACACTCAACTCAACAGGATGCCCAAACTCTTGTCCCCGCCACACAAACCAGCCTCCATCCACCCCCCACGCCATTCCCCACCTCTGCCTGTTTCCAGTCCCTTCCCCACCTCCTGACATCTACCCCAGGATTCCCCATCTGGACACTACTGACATAGCTCCTTGTTGTAGGAGGCCGTCCTGTGTACGGTACAGTAGAGAGCAGTATTCTGACCTCTACCCGACTGACACCAGTAGCACGCTTTCCCACTGTGACAACCGAGTGGGTCCCCAGATATGGCCAAGTGTTCGCGCAGAGGGGCAAAATTTCCCCCAGTAGAGAATCACTGGCCTATTCCTAACCTCATACAATTGCTCCCTACCCCATCTTCCAACTCAGACTCCGGCCCCACCCACTCTCCCACTCCCACCCAATACCCCAATGGGCTGCACATCCATCCTCGAATCTTCCCTCCCCACACCCTAGGCCACTCCGTTCACACAGCTCATCCCCTGCGCTTGCTTCTTCCAACCTGTAACATCTCGTGCCTGGAGATCTTTCCATCCCGATCCAGGTCGTAGAGCTGAAACGCAACTAGGCAGAGTGGACGGGAAAAAAGGTGAGTCTTCCGTGTTCCCACCCGTCCCATAGGAAGGTCGCCACGGAGGAGCGGAAGGCACCCCAGCCTCACGAAGGGAGTGGGGCTTCCGGGCCTGACTTGGGCCGTTCCCCACACACTCACAGCGAAGTTTGTTCATTCTGCTGTTGAGGGGCTCCGGTTGCTTGGGGTCTCGCATTGCTGGGTCCTCCTCCTCCACAGGTCGAAAATGAGCCAGGATTCTGACGAACCCCGAGAAGTCCACTCGCTGATTCCTGGAGGGGAAAGGGGCAGGAGTGACCGTGACGGCTCTCGGCCTCAGCCTGAACCTCTCGGGCCACCCGTGCACTCGGGGTTTTCCCCCTGCACCCCCACAGCGGCCTCACCCGTCCGGGAAGAAGCTGTCTATGATCCGGTCTCCCAGGGGGTTCACGGCCAGCGCCCCAATCTGCTGGAGATCCGTGCGGCTGTAACATCGAAGTTCAAAGGGGTGGGACAGAGGCCGCGGATGGAGGCGACTGAGGGGAAATGGGGTCCGCGAGGCAGAGGCAGAGGCAGGAGGTCGCGGGCTCCCCTCACCTCAGGTAGCCCTTGTTGTTCCCGTCCAGCGCCCGGAACCGGTGGTGGAGGCGGAGCAGGCTGGCCTGCGAGACTGCGGGCGTGGGGAGCGAAGGGGGGGCGGCTGAGGACACCAGGGCCCCTTGGACGCGCCCGAGCAGCGTCCCAGCGCCGAGGGCCCCGCCTGGGTGCAGCCCTCCGCCGAGCCCTGCCAGGCCCGCGCTAAACCTCCGGCCCAGCGCCCGGAGGCGCTCGGGAGCCCCGCTCGCGGGGCGGGGGGCGGGGTCTTCACCACCCAGGCCGGGCGGGGCCGGCGCCGCTAGGGGGAGCCGGGCCAGGCCGGAGACGCGCGCCCACTTCAGGCCCCGAAGGCTCCCGAAACCTTGGGGCCAAAGTCGGCGCCCTCCGTGCGCGGCCAGCCCTGCCTTCGGCCCCGAGCCCGGCTGGGGGCCACCGGGTGCCTGCACGAGCCTGGCCCCGGGCCCGCGAACCTGGACGCCAGAACCGCTGGGTGAGCGCTCCTGGCCCCGCGACCCCCACCCCGGGGACTCGCGCTCGGGGTCCGTCCCCCGCGAGCCCGCCCGCCCCGCGCACTCACAGCCGGTCTCTCGCCGAATGCCGTCCGCGTCGGGGATGACCGCGGCGTGCGAGCTGCGCGCGCCCATGGCCGGCCGCGGGCTGCGGGCCCAGGCGTCCTCTGCAGCCCGAGGCGCGGCCGCCCGGTGCCCCGGGGCGAAGGCCACGGGCCTGGCGGGCAGCCAAGCTCCGGACCGCCCGCGTTCCTCGCCTCCCACCTGCGACCGCGCGCGAACTGGAAACAAGGCCAGGCCGGGGCAGCGGGTCAGAGGGGAGGGCGAACGACCGCTCTCTCCAGCCGAGACCGCGAGGTCGCTCAGGGAGTGGCTGGGTGGGGCCGGCGCTCCGCCCACCTGACGCCTCCGGGCCTCGGTCTCACGGTCCTTGCGGACGGACGGACGGACGGACGGGCGGACGGACGTCCGGGCGGACGGACGTCCACCCTCCTCCTCCAGGGCCCGGCTTGGCCAGTCCCTCTGGCATCGACCCGCAATGAGAGTCTGAGTCCGGCTGGGAAGAGGATGGACGGACTCGCCCCCAGCTTGGATGGCCTGTGGTGGGCCAGGACGGGTAATGCGGTGTGAGCTACAGTACTTACTCTGGACAAGCCACTGTACCTTCGTCCCTCCTTTTGGGGTGATCTCCATAGCACTGTTGCCGTTGTGTGGCTGCCCCAGTGCTTAGAATCCAGGGGATGTATCCCAAAATCCAGATTCCTGGCTTCTCCTGAGAAATCAGAAGTTCTGACGCTGCTAAGCCAAGGGTTGTCCGTTATCCACACTCCTCACCCGGCCCCATTAAACCTCCTGATGTACCCTGTGTCCCCTGGTAGTACGGGCTGCGAACGACTTAGACCTCCGACCAGCCTCCACAAGCCTGGGAGAGGGTTACAGGCATCTCTGTGACCCACCCCGAAATGACACAAGTGACAGTAACAAGCCCTCTGTTTATCACCCGTGCCCAGGAACTTTGCTAAGCACTGTATGCATCAGCTCACACATTCTCCCGGGCCCCTGCTAGGCTGCGCCTGGCTTTTACATTGTGGTAGACAGAGTTTCCAAGGGGGTTAGTGTTTTTGTTCTTTGTAGTATTTTTCATTAGTACACGTTTGCAATACATAATAGTTACATTTATCCTGAGGCATTGGTACACGTACATAACACATCTCCATTTTTTTTTCGTCTCCTGTCCCTCTTCCCTCCCCACTCCTTCCAGCTTAGTCCCCTTCCCATTGGCAAAAGCTCCGTTTCTGTTGTAAAGCATGCTGTCTCTCTGAGTCCATTTGCTGTTGCTACAAGTAAGCACCATACATTGAGTCATTTATTTAAAATAACGGTTTATTTGGCTCACGATATTGAAGATTGTGAAGTTCAAGATCAGATGGCCACATCTGTCGAGGTACTTCTTTCTGGGGGTTCTCTCTGCAGAGTCCTGAGGTGGTGCAGGGGGTCACATGGTAAAACAGACAGAGCATCCCAGCTCAACCTCTCCTTTTCTTCTAAAGCCAAAGACCCATTGGATCAGGGTGCTCCCTTTATGCCTCATGTAAAGGCTCACCTCCAAATACCATAGATTAAATTTCAACATGACTTTTGGTGGAGACATTCAAACTGTGGCACTTGTGTTCTCAATGAGCACCATATCATAAGGAGACAAACAATCTTACTTTCTTTTTATGTGTAAAGTGTAGCTATATAGAGAGCCCATAAATAAATATAGAGTATATCTGTGCCATTAAAATGTCATGGGGAAGGGTGATAAAAACATATCTAAAAAGACTCCCAGGAAGGCGGGATGGGAAAACGAAGGTTAAGAAATTGGTTGTAAAGGGACAGGCACCACAGGTATATGGTTTTTAAGCTATTCCCCGATCATAATCAGACATATACACAAGTTTTCCTGGAGAAAAAGCACGTAGTTCGTTACAAAGGTTCAAGTTCCTATCCACCGTAGTGAGAGAGAAGCTGGCAAAACAGTCTATTTTCCAACCGGAGGCTTGCATCAAATGAGCCTTGAAAATATTGATCTAAGAAGTGCTTGCTCCTCTTTCAGATGCCCCAAGGATTACACAACTTGTGTAAGGAATGTTTAATTTCCTTTCAGACACCCCCAGGGGCTGAGGCATATGGGAAACCACACTCCTCCCTACTGGAGCCCTCCCTACTGGAGTAGCTCCAGGCTGTCACTTGTAGTTGGGCTAGGAGGGAAGTTTGGGTTCAGTTCTGAACCCAGGAGGGGATGCAGTCCCTGGGATGCTGCAGTCTTCCTGTCAGGCCAGCTTGGATGCTGATCTTGGAAAGGGCTTCTCCAGCCTGGATCTCTGACTCAGCTCTGCGCTGCGGTAAATGAAGCCAGAGCATATGAGCATCTCATGCACGTGCCTTCAGGAAACATTGTGCTAGGGACCCACTCTTGGCCCATGCATGCAAGCGGCCTTGAAATCCATTTCACAGTACACGTGGCCTCATCTGTTCAGGGCCCTGAAAAGAGAGGTGCTTTAGGGAATTTTCCTTCTGCAGACTCTGTTAGAATAAATTCTGGCTGAACATTTGTTTTATGCCTTTAAGTTACATAAAAGTTCCCAGCCATCCTTGGTGAAGGTTCACCTAGAAAAGCAAACATGCAGAATAGTCAGGAAAATGTAAAAGTCTTACTACTCAATAATAAGGAGGTAAATGTCCCAGATGGAAGTGATGGCACATGCTTGTAATCCCCACCCTCTGGGAAGCTGTGGCAACAGGATTGCAAGTATGAGGCCACCCTGGGCTACAGAAAAATTTCAAGGCCAGCATGGAACACAGTGAGACACTGTTTCAAAAAAAACCAAAGAAGTCAATCTCCCAACTACAAAAATGTACAAAGGACTTGAATAGACATTTCTTCAAAGAAGATAGATAAGTGGCCACAGAAACATGTGAAAAGGTTCTCAATATCACTAGTATTGAGGGAAATAAAAATCAAACCACAGTAGGTTACCACTGCACAGCCACAGGGATGACTAGCATTAAAACAAGCCAATAAAGACAATAGAAAATAAGCGTTGGGGAGGATATGGAGAAATTAGAGCCCCCTTATGCTGTAGTAGAAATCTAAAATGGTTAGGTTGTTGTGAAAACACTTTGAAGATTTTCCCAAAAAGCTAAACAATACAACATGACTCAGTAAATCTACTCCTAGATACATACTCAAAAAAGAATTGAAAATATGTTCAAACAAAAACTTGTGCACGAATGTTCATAATTCCACTATAGCTACAAAATAGCCAGAAGGTGGAAATAACCCAAATATCCGTCACCTGATGAACAGGTAAACAAAATGTGGTATATCCATGCAAATATTATTTAACCATACAAAGCAATAAAGTACTGGATATGCCACAACATAAACAAATCTGGGAAATGTAAAACAAGCCATTTACAAAAGGCCACATATGATATGCATTAGTTAACTTTCCTCTTGCTGGGACATATTTTCCAGCACCCACAGTCTCAGGGAGGAGAGGTTTAATTTGGCTCACAGGACATTCGGTCCATGGTAAACTGGCTCCAAGGCAAGAGCATTCTGAGGAAGAGATGGCAGAACAAAGATGTGAGGTTCATCGTGGTGCCCAGAATAAGAGAGGGGAACTGGGCCAGAGGGGGAGAGGTCAGGGGTCATATATAGTACCCAAAGTGACACACCCAGATACACACAGAAGTGCACTTTACTACTCGCCTAGGTGGCTTCCAAGGCAATCAAGTGACACAATTAAACTTAACCACCACATTATATAATTACATTTATAGGAAATTTCAAGAACAGGAAAACCTATACAGGCAGAAAGTAGATTACAGGTTGCTGAGGGCCAGTGGAGGTGGGGGGAAAGGGGAGGGGAACTAGCTAAAGAGTATGAGGCTTCTTGAAATGATGAAAATGTTCTAAAATTGACTTGGTGGGGTGGTTTCACAATCTGTGAATATATTACAATGTATTGAATTGAACTCTTTTTTTTTTTTTTTGCTGTATTGGGAATCAAACAGGAACTCATGCATGCTAGGCAAGCACTTTACCACTGACCCACACACCCAGCCCTGCACTATACACTTTAAATTTTATGGTATGTAAATTATATTTCAACAAAGCTGTTGTGGTTTTTTGGTTTTTTCGGTGCTGGGAATCGAACTGAGGCCCTTGTATTTGCCAGGCAGGCGCGGTGCCACTGAGCTACATCCCTGGTCCCTGCAAAGCTGGGGGGGGGGGGAGGTTTTAACAAAAAAAGAACAGCTAGGAAAATTCTGAAAGTAAAAGTTAGAGGAGTGACTTGCTCTCACAGATTTTTAATATGTTTTAGAGATACAATCAACTATGTTGTAATGGTGCAGGAATATGAGATAAGAAACAGATTTTAAAAGTTCAGAACTAAAGCTAAATACATGTGGGAATTTGTCATGTGATAAAAGTAACATTTTGAGTCAGTGGAGAAAATGTGGATTATTCAGTAAATGTCATTTGGGACATCTGTATTTTAGGAGAATGAATAAAGTTATACCCCTATTCTCTTATACCAAAATAAATTATAAATGAAGTGAGTTGAATGCAAAATGGCATCAAAAAATACCGAAAGCAATCTTGCATATATTTTGTTATACTCTTGAACAGGAGAAGGTCTTTCTAAACATGAAGTAAAACAGAAATCATAGATAAAAGATTGATGAATTTGATTACATGACAAAATCTCTATGTGAGTGTATATGTAGGTATTTACATACATATGTACACACATAGGTACAAACATACACACATATATAGAAGAAACTTGGGAAAATGTTCACAGTCTCTATGAAAGGTAAAAGACAATCCAATAGAAAATCTGGGGTAAAACATGAAATAATAAATGATTAATAAAGCTAGATGTGGCTGGACATAGTGGTACACAACTGTAATCCCAGCACTTGGAAGACTGAAGCAGGAGGATTGCCGCAAGTTCAAGGCCAACCTGAACTACACAGTGAAACCCTGTCTCAAAAAAATAAATACATCTAGATGTGGTGGCACACACCTGTAATACCAACACTCTGGGAGGCTGAGGCAGGAGAATCACAAGTTCTGCCCAGCCTGGGCAACTTAGTGATTTAGCAAGACCTTGTCTCAAAATAAATACAAATGGGCCAAGTCTGGGAATGTAGCTCAATGCAAAGGCCCTGAACTCAAACC